GGACACCTCCCACCACACCAGGTTGCTCCAAGCCCCCTCCAACCTGGCCTTGAACCCCTCCAGGGATGGGGCAGCCACAGCTTCTCTGGGCAACCTGTTCCAAGGTCTCTCCACCCTCACTGGAAAGAGTTTCTCCCTAATGTCTAACCTAAATCTCTCTTCTTTCAGCTTAAAACAGTTCCCCCACGTCCTATGGCTCCCCTCCCTCATGGAGAGTCCCCATCTCTCATATAGGTCCCTTTTAGGGACTTGATGGTCTCTGATGTTGCTGGTCTCTGTCCTGTCACCCTGCTCCTGATCCACACGTGTCTGGGAGCTGATGTTTCAATACGTGACAGACTTTGGTCGGGAAGGTGTTTGGGAGCTCGGGGAGCTTTCCAGCTCCCCCCTGACCCCCCTGCCTCTGTCCTTCCCTCCTGAAGGCCGAGAGCTGGGGCTGTGGCCGAGAGACTGTGGAGCAACGCGACCGTCAGGGACCTGCAAGATGCCTACGTGCGGCTGGCCGAGTTCCGCTGCCAGCTCCTCAGGTGAGAGTCCCTCCTGGCAGATGCCACCCCCTCCGGGGTGTCCAGTCCTGGGGAGGGGCAGCCAGGGTGAAGTGGGCTTTTCCTGCTGCAAAACAACCCTCGTTCCTACGGAAAGTCCTGAGCTTTTCTCCTGCCTGTGCGTGGGCAGAGCTTGTGCGGTGCTGGAAGAGAGCCCCTGCTGCCAGCGTGGGCTGGTGGCTCTTGTCAAGGAGAGGGCTTTGTGCTGAGGAAGAGGGGGGGGACCCATCAGCCATTCCCCCCCCTGCTGCAGCACCAGCTTCCTCAGGAAACCCACCCTTACACTGTGCTTCCACACCTGAGCAAAAAATTGAATCTCTAGGCACAGGATGAGAGCAGTTCCCTCGTTGTGGCACCTGAAATGGGCGCCGATGGCCACCCTGTGCTCCTCGGACCTTCTGACCCCATGGTGGGCCCTGCCTGTCCCCTCTGCCTCATGCCATCTCTCTCCTCTCTGTCTCCAGGCGCGGTGTCCGGGCGCAGCCTCTCTACGTGGGATACTGTGAAAGTGAATTTGACGGGTTTTGAAGGGAGATTCCCCACACGGGAGGAACGATCCCACCCTCTCGAAAGCTGCTGGTTTGGCCAAGGGGCCCCTTTCCCACCCCCGGCTTCTGCTCTCCCTTTGTTGCAATGAACTTTTTTTTTTGTCCCCTTAGTGTGCGGTCTTTGCCTCTTTTTCTATTTTTAATTCTTTAAATCTATAAATAAATGACCCCAAAGAGGAAAAAGGTGCTTTTTCATGCTCAGCTTGGGAGACCGTGCAAGGGCTTTTGTTGGCAGGAGAACGGGTAGGGCTTGCTCCAGAGAGCTGTGTCTCACCCTGGTGGCTCCGGAGCTTGCTGGGTGCCTGCCCAGGCTGCGTTTAGTCTCTGCTGCTGTCACGCTCCGTCCCTGCAGGGAGAAGGTGCTGAGAAGTTGTGGACACCCCCACTTTTCTCCTTGACGTTCCACCATCCGCACCTGGACAAGGCCCTACTGCATGGTGACCTTGGTTCTGCTTCTGTGGCCCTCCACGCGCCAGCAATCAGCCTGGTGCTGCTCCTGTCCTCCTCTGCCTCCTCTCTCTGCGTGCATCCAGGCAGGAGGCTTCTCTGCCAGCCACCATCCTCCTCCTCTGGCCTCTCCTGAGGAGAAGGCACTCCCAGGAGACCTCAAACCCACGGAGCTGAGCCATTGCGTGGATGTCACAGAGTCACTGCTCAGCTCTTCCCTCAGCTGTTGCCTCTGCTCAGGATTTGGCCAACTGCTCCGTCCTCCTCGGGGTGGGAAGCTCAGCTCCAGGTCTGCATCTGAGAGGTTTGGGTAGTATTTTCCTTGGAGAAGAGACGGGTGGTGCTGCTGTCCCACAGAGCTAGGACAGTTGGGGTGCTTGTCCTTCCATGGTCGGGGTTGCCCTGCTGGAAATCAGCTCAAACCCGGGGAATCTCTCCGGGAGAAGTCCTGGCCCATGGGACTGTTGTTCACGTGTCTTGGTCTTCAGTGAGTGAGAGCTGCTGGTGTGGCTGGAAACCCTTTACTATTGAACTTTAAATTAAAAATACTGAATTAACTTTCAATTAAAGATATTCAGAGGTTGTCAAGTCTTGCATTTCTTCACCCTCTGGCAAAGGGACACCCAAACGCTGCTCCTCTGAAGCGCTACGTCTTGAAAGGGAGGGGAAAAAGCTTGTGAAGCCCAACCACCCCTGAGTGGAGAAGTTGAAGCAGATTTGGGGCAAAGAGGGATGTTTTTTTCCCCTTCCTGAGGGTGGGACAGGAAAGGCTGCCTCCCCGTGCCCTGTGTCCTGGGAGAAGATGCTCCTCTGCCTCCTCCACATCTGGAGGAGAAACTTGTGCCCCTTTTCTCCATTGTTTAGGTTGTGTAATTAGTGCTCCTTCCTCCCTACCAGACCTGGCACCAGCAAACACTGATTGGAAGCTTCTCATCCCCATGAGGACATCTTCTCCTCTGACCCGAGTCCCCACTGATGCCACCCAGTGCCCCCGCGGCATCTTTTGGGGTTGGCTTCGGGAAGCGTTGCTCTACAGCACAAACACCTCAGGTAGTACTTGTGGAGCAGAAGCTTCTGGTCCGGGCTGGTGGCTTCTGATGCTTTGGACCTGGGCATCTGCTCCATCTCAACCTGGCCACCTCTGCCTGGCCCTTCCTGCAGCCACGCCGGGGGGAGGACACCTGGGAGGCCATCGTTGGCTGCTGGGATGGGGCTGCGAGGGGGTGGCAGGCACAGAGGAAGGGGGGCAGTAGCTCCTGGTTTTGAAAGCTGGGGGGTTCTCCTTGGGTGGTTTTTTCCCCCCAACACAGTGTAGATGGGTACCTGCACCAGGTGCTCTTGTCACGGCAGGGAGCTGCTGGGGGGGCTGGGGCCGAGGGGGAGCCTGGCCCTGGGGTGGGTGTTCTCCTGGGAATGATGCTCTGCTCCTGGGAATGATGCTCTGCTCCCAGGGACAATGCTGTGCTCCTAGAAGGGGGCTCTGCTCCCAGGGACAATGGTGTCCTCACAAGGAGGGTGTTCTGCTCCCAGGAAGGATGCTCTGCTTCTGGGGATGATGCTCTGCTCCTGGGAAGGATGCTCTGTTCCCAGGAATGATGCTCTGTTCCCAGGGACAATGCTCTGCTCCAAGGGATGGTGCTCTGCTTCTGGGAATGATGCTCTGCTCCCGGGAATGATGCTCTGCTCCCAGGAAGGGTTCTCTCCTCCCAGGAATGCCACTCTGCTTCTGGGAAGGATGCTCTGTTCCCAGGAACAGTGCTCTGCTCCTGGGAAGGGTACTCTGCTCCCAGGGACAACAGTGTCCTCGCGAGGAGGGTGTTCTGCTCCCAGGGATGATGCTCTGCTTCTGGGAATGATGCTCTGCTCCCAGGGACAACGGTGTCCTCCCAAGGAGGGTGTTCTGCTCCCAGGAAGGATGCTCTGCTCCTGGGAAGGATGCTCTGTTCCCAGGAATGGTGCTCTGTTCCCAGGGACAATGCTCTGCTCCAAGGGATGGTGCTGTGCTGCTGGGAAGGATGCTCTGCTCCCGGGAAGGGTTCTCCACTCCCAGGGACAATGCTCTGCTCCTGGGAAGAATGCTCTGTTCCCAGGGACAATGCTGTGCTCCCAGGGATGATGCTCTGCTCCCAGGAAGGGTTCTCTGATCCCAGGAATGATGCTCTGCTCCCAGGGACAATGCTGTGCTCCCAGGGATGATGCTCTGCTCCCAGGAAGGATGCTCTGCTCCTGGGAAGGGTGCTCTGTTCCCAGGAATGATGCTCTGTTTTCAGGGACAATGCTCTGCTCCAAGGGATGGTGCTCTGCTTCTGGGAATGATGCTCTGCTCCCGGGAAGGTTGCTCTTCTCCCAGGAAGGGTTCTCCACTCCCAGGGATAAGGCTCTGCTCCCGGGGATAATGCTCTGCTCCTGGGAAGGATGGTCTCTTCCCAGGGATGATGCTGTGCTCCTGGAAAGGATGCTCTGCTTCTGGGAATGATGCTCTGTTCCCGAGAAGGGTACTGTGCTCCTGGGAATGATGCTCTTCTTCTGGGAACAGTGCTCTGCTCCCAGGAAGGGTTCTCTGCTCCCAGGGACAATGCTCTGCTCCAAGGAAGGATGCTCTGCTCCCAGGAAGGATTCTCCAATCCCAGGAAGGGTTCTCTGCTCCCGGGAAGGGTTCTCTGCTCCCAGGGACAATGCTGTGCTCCCGGGAAGTGCGCGTCTGCTTGCACACGCGCGCATGGGTGTGAACACACACGTGCATTCATCCGCGTGTATGTGTATGGGCACTTGTGAACATGCTCGTTCGTGCACGTGCTCGCACGTGTGTGCACATATGTCCTTGTGAACACGTGCATTCGTGCACATGCTTGCGCACACGTCCATATGGGCGCTTGTGAATATGTGCTCATGCACGTGCTTGCACACGCACGTGTGGGTGCTTGCAAATGTGCACTCAGGCATATTCTTGCACGCGCATGCATATGGGTGCTTGTGAATACGTGTGCTCATGCACATGCTTGCACACGTGCATATACCTGCTTGTAAACACATGCACTCAGGCACATTCTTGCACACGCACACACATGGAAGCTTGCAAACGTGCATTCATGCACGTTCTTGCACACACGTGCACATGGGTGCTTGTGAACACATGTGTGCATTCATCCACATGCATGCACATGTATATGTATGGACGTTTGTGAACACGTGCTCATGCACAGGCTTGCACACACATGCATGGTGATGCTTGTGAACACGTTCATTCATGCGCATGCTTGCACATGTGTGTATATGGGTGCTTGTGAACATGTGGTCATGCAGAGGCTTGCACACACATGCATATGGGTGCTTGTGAACACGTGCTCATGCACATGCTTGCACACGTGCATATACCTGCTTGTAAACACATGCACTCAGGCACATGCTTGCACACGCACACACATGGAAGCTTGCAAACGTGCACTCATGCACATTCTTGCACACACGCGCATATGGGTGCTTGTGAACACATGCGTGCAGTCATCCACATGCATGCACATGTATGTGTGTGGGCGCTTGTGAACACGTGCTCATGCACATGCTTGCACACACACATGTGTAGGAATTTGCAAATGTGCACTCAGGCACATTCTTGCACACACATGCATGGTGATGCTTGTGAACACGTTCATTCATGTGCATGCTTGCACATGTATGTATATGGGCGCTTGTGAACATGTGTGCTCATGCACATGCTTGCACACGCACATGTGTGGGAGCTTGCAAATGTGCAGTTATACACATTCTTGCACACACACGCATATGGGTGCTTGTGAACACGTGTGCATTCATCCACATGCATGCACATGTATATGTATGGGCACTTGTGAACATGTGCTCATGCACATGCTTGCACACACATGCATGGTGACGCTTGTGAACACATTCATTCATGCACATGCTTGCACATGTGTGTATATGGGTGCTTGTGAACACATGCTCATGCAGAGGCTTGCACATGTGTGTATATGGGAGCTTGTGAACGCATGTGCTCATGCACATGCTTGCACACGCACATGTGTGGGAGCTTGCAATTGTGCACTCAGGCACATTCTTGCACACACATGCATATGGGTGCTTGTGAACACGTGTGTATTTATCCACATGTATTTAGGTGTATGTATATGGGTGGTTGTGAACACATGTGCTCATGCACATGCTTGCACACATGTGCATATACCTGCTTGTAAACACGTGCACTCAGGCACATGCTTGCACACATGTGCATATGGGTGCTTGTGAACACGTGCTCATGCACAGGCTTGCACACACATGCATAATGGTGCTTGTGAACATATTAGTTCATGCGCATGCTTGCACACACGTGCATAGGGGCACTTGTGAAATGTGCTCATGCACATGCTTGCACACGCATGCATGTATGTGCTAGTAAATGCATGCGCTCAAACACACGCTTGCACACGCGCGCATATGGTTGCTTGCAAACACATACATGCACCCACGCACATGCTTGCACACACATGCACACCTGCACACACCTGCAAATGCACCCCTGCACACGCGCCCACACGCCGTTGCTCAGGCTTGCGATGCAGACGTGAAGTTGTGTGTGCCTGTGCGGGCCCTTGCACGTGCTTGCACACGCGTGTGCACTCTTGCAACTCTACGCTCATGCTTGCAGCACGTGCACACACAGGAATGAACTCACGCACACGTGGTTGCACACACTCACAATTACATGCGTGTGTTTGCTT